CCCTCACGGCCCAGCCCTTACCCATCCCATGGTCACCCGGTCCAAGGCGGGTATCACCCGTCCCAAACACATCCTCGACCTAAGAACCACCGCCCAAATCTCCCCTCTACCCCCTACCTACCGTAGTGCCCTTAAGGACCAGAACTGGTATAATGCTATGTGCGATGAATTTAATGCTTTGATTAACAACGATACATGGGAACTTGTACCCCCCTCCCCCTCCCAAAATGTTATCACCGGTAAATGGCTCTTTCACAACAAATTTGGCCCTACAGGTGAACTGTCCAGGTACAAAGCTCGGTGGGTGGTCCGTGGATTCAATCAGCGCTTCGGAATCGATTATGAGGAGACTTTCAGTCCGGTGGTAAAACCTGCCACGGTGCGTATTGTTCTTAGCCTAGCCGTGTCACGTGGATGGCCTATTCATCAGCTGGATGTGAAGAACGCCTTTCTTCACGGCACTCTTCAGGAGACAGTGTATGCCACTCAACCATCCGGATTCCAGGATCCCACACGCCCCCATTATGTGTGTCGACTGAAGAAGGCGTTATACGCTCTCAAGCAAGCTCCCCGCTCCTGGTATCACCGCTTTGCAGGATTTCTCCTTACCTTTGGTTTTCTTGGCTGTAAGAGTGACACATCTCTTTTTGTCTACACTCGTGGGGATGACAGGGCATATTTGTTGCTCTATGTGGATGACATTGTTCTCACCGCCTCTTCTTCCTCCTTACTTCAGCGCCTCACTCAACAACTGAAGGGAGAATTTGCTATGACAGATATGGGCGACCTTAATTTTTTCCTCGGGATTAATGTTCAGCGCACTACGGAGGGGCTATTTCTTCATCAGACACAGTTTGCTCAGGAGATCTTGGAGCGGGCAGACATGCTAAACTGCAAGCCCATCTCCACCCTAGTGGATACTAAGGCGAAGCTTGGAGCTTCCTCGGGAATACCTCTTCCTGATCCCACTTTATACAGGTCCATTGTTGGTGCTCTACAGTATCTCACATTCACCCGCCCTGATCTCACCTATGCTGTTCAGTAGTTATGTCTTCACCTCCATGCTCCTCACAGCACTCATCTCACTGCCATGAAGCGGGTTCTACGCTACCTTCACGGCACCACTACTCATGGGATTACTCTACATCGCACCCGCACGGATTGCTTACAGGCCTATTCTGATGCAGATTGGGCAGGATGCCCAGATACTCGCCGCTCTACCTCTGGATATTGTGTGTTCCTTGGCGATAATCTTGTTTCCTGGTCCTCCAAAAGGCAAGCTACCACATCTCGTTCGAGTGCTGAGGCTGAGTATCGTGCCGTTGCAAACGCCGTCGCCGAAGCGAGTTGGATCCGAAACCTGCTTCTCGAGTTACAACACCCTCTACGACGCTCGACTCTGGTTTTCTGTGACAACGTCAGCGCAGTGTATCTCTCATCCAACCCTGTTCAGCACCAGCGCACTAAACATGTGGAGGTTGACATTCACTTTGTCAGAGACAAAGTCGCCCTAGGACAGGTCCGCGTACTTCATGCTCCCTCATCTTCCCAGTACGCCGACATCTTCACCAAAGGACTCCCATCACTTCTCTTCTCCGATTTCAGACATAGTCTCGGCATCCGTCCTTCATCCGTTACGTAGCTGGGAGCATATTAAATATATATTGTATATTTAATATATTTTATATATATATATTTGGTAGTTTCCCTTGTATAGAAGGATTGCATTTATATCCTACCATAATTAGGAGACTTGTATCTTGTATATATTCGAGGCTTAACCTCCGAGATCAATACAGAAATTCATTATTCTTCAGTCGATCCCACGAGGAAAGATACTTTTAGGCTATGAAAATCAGTTCACTTGTCACTTTTATTGAATAAAAACTACTACCTCCGTCCCAGAGTATTTCTCTATTTTAATTTTTACACACCATCCAATGCACTTCTTTAATCCATTTTATCTTGTAATTTGTATATTAAAAAAATATAGAAATTATATATTAATAATCTATATGTTAAGACAAATCAAACAAGATCATAAATGACTATATTTAGGCTTACACATTGAGAGAATTTGATGAGTCAAAATGTTTAGATGAACAGTTCCAAAAGTCAAAACTGGACGAATACTCCGGGACGGAGGGAGTACTCCGTAACTAAAATCTAAAAACTAACTAAAGTAGCAACTAAAAATAAACTAACAGATATGGGGGGGTTTGAAAGATAAATTTAAAAGGATATAAAAAAAATAAAATAAAGATAAAGGATAACAGATAAGAGATAAGAGCCAGAACCACAACAGCAACTCGAACTCAGAACACTCATGGAGAAACTAACACACAAAAACAATCACACAATAAACTTTATAAAAACGTAGACAATAATAATTAACTTAAACCATTTTGAAAATACATATAGTTTTTAATAGAAAATAACCATAACAAATCTGATTAATCAATTAATTCTTTCTTAATCCTGAAACTAAACTGCTAATCAAACTCAGGATTAAGCTGAAGAAGAGGTCCACCTGCGGTTCTTCCCTATTCTCCCTAATATAGCCTATGTTAAGACCTGACATAACTCTAGACCATACTATTAGGGGTGGGCACGGATCGGGACGGTCCGAATTTTAGGTTGTCCCACGTCTTGTCCCGTTATATATAAACGGTCCGGATTACAATCTAATCCCGGTTTGTCCCATAAAATTCGGGATCGGAATAAAACGGGACGAATTCGGGTCGTCCTACTTTGTCCTAATCGCAAATATAAGAAGGGGAAGAGGGTGACGTTTCATTTAAAAAAAAGAAACATCTAGTCATCCAACAAAAAACAATGAGTGGAACGGGTCCAAATAAATTTCAAGCTCATGAAGTTAATTTAATTAAGAGTAAATTCCATAATTGGTCCTTTATAACAGGGGAGTTTCCCTATTTAGTCCTCTATTATAAAATATTACCCCAATGGTCCTTTTATGGGTATCTTTCCACAAATAGTCCTTTTTTGATCTTCTTTCATGTTAGTGTTAATTTGAGGGCTAAAAGTGTAATTTCATAATGATAATATATCTTTTTTGTCATACACAATTCTAAAAGTTGTTCCGTATGCGTCGTTTGTGAATTACATTCGCTTTCTACTAGAACCATAGTCTACAAATGTGGTCTTCCGTCAAAATCTTATCCCACAATCATAGTCATTATTTTTGTATTATTCATTTAATCAATATCAGAACACGTCACTAGACTTAATGTTGATGTCAAATTATACTTTTAGCCTTTAAATTAAAACTCACATAGTGGAAGATAAAAAAAAGGACCATTTGTGGAAAGACACCCTTAAAAAAAGGACTACGAGGGTAATATTTGATAATAGATGACTAAATGTGGAAACCCCTGTTATAAAGGACCAATTATGGAATTTACTCTTTAATTAAATAACTAATTAATTAAAGAATGAGTGTATTTGGATTTTGGACTAGAATTAGTATTATATATTAGTAGAGTAAATGAAACGGGACAAACGGGACGGATCAGTATAAATTTAAGCTGTCCCGCTCATGTCCCATTTGATATTGGGACGGAACGGGTTCGGGACAAAAAAATGTGTCCCAATATATCGGTAAAATTACAAAACGGATCCGGGATTTTTCGGGACGGTCCAACGGGAATGGATTTTACGCCCACCCCTACCTACTATTCTTAACAACCCAAGGACCTGCCCTCAGATTTAATTAAAAATAGAGCATTAAGTTCTTTGGAAAACATCACTTAACAACTATGCAGTAGACTATATCTATTTAACACAGCCAGCTTGAAAACTCTGATTAATAAAACCAGGTGGAGCCAATTAAGTATTAACCAGGTGACACTTGTGTTTTAAAAAGCTCAGCTATAAACGTACTCAAGATTAGGGGTGTAAACGGATATTAATCGGATCGGATGTGTCATTACCAAATCCGTATCCGTTTATTTTTGTCGGATATCGAATTCGGATACGGATCTTGACGGATACTGAAAATCAAAACCGTATCCGCATTCGTCGGATATCGGTCGGATATCGGATATATCCGTATCCGTTTCCAATTTTTAAAATCAAATTATACAATAATTTATTTTAAATTAGATTAAAGTCAAATTATTATTAAATCAACTATAATTTGGTATGGGATATTTATTTTCTTTGTTTTCATGATTTATGATATTCTACGATAACTTAATATGATAAAAAGATATACACGACACACATATACACATATTTTTATATGTCTGTACATATTTTTATGTGTCTACACATTTATTTTGTATATAAAAATTTCTCATATTTTGAAATATCAATAGAGAAACAATATATAAACATAAAAAATTAGGAAAAATTATATATAACGGATCGGATATTTGGATAGACAGTAGCGCAAAGGCTAAAATTCCTTCAAGGTCAAATTAATCCAATAAAAACAACCAAATCAAAGATTCAATCTTTTTTGTCAAACGATCCAGCCTAAAAAGGTTTCATAATTTCAGAGAACAATATTTTTTATTTGGTGACGGAAGCGGGATAAGTTCTTCTGGCGCAACCACAAAACGTATAGTCATCGACGCCACAAAGAAGACTGAGATCTGGAGGGTATAATTTTTTGTTTTCTAGTCGTATAATTTACTTCCTCCGTCCCAAAAAAAATTTCAAATACAAAAAAAAGCACAACCTAAAAATGTATGATTTTGATATTATTTTCTAATTTTGTCATTACTTTATAATAAGGTAAGATATGATGTGTAGGATAGATGAATCATTTTTAAAATTTAATCAATTTCGGGTCTAATCAATTCCGAGTTAAATCGTATTCAGATCAGAATCGAGTCTGAATACATTCGGTTTGTGTTCGGTTCGGTTCGGATCATTTTGGGTGTTCGGTTCTTCAGTTTTCGGGTCAAATCGAGTTCGGTTCCAGGTTATTCGGTTCGGGTTATCGGGTTCGGGTCTGTTTTGCCAGGTCTAATTTTAAGATTACTTTTCAATCTTGTCCAAATTTATACCAAGAGGCGGCTAGAAAAAATGTTGAACGACTTTTTGATGTTCTAAAGCAACGGTGATACATTGTTCAAAACTTGACACATGCTTTCCAAGTAAAAAAGTTGAGATACATTATGTATGCTTGTATCTTATTAAACAAGATGACACTTGGAGACGAAT